ACGCTCAAGCAATTCGAGCGACACCACAGGTAATACTGGTATCGATTGGTGAAGTGACTGAGCAACTCATCTCAAATTAGCACTTCTTCAGTATAGCTACCGAATTGGCAAAAGATTCAGACGATGAGGTTAGAAACTTAGGGCTATGATATCGATTGATGCTGACAAACACTGTTGCTTTTATTCTATCTTCTAGCTTTTACAAGGGCAGAGAGCTGCAATTTAGTGACCCTTGTATAACCTCCGCGTTCGTTCGGTTTCCTTGTAACCTGTGCATGGAAATGCACTCATTTTGGTTGTTCAAGTTGGGATTTCTCTTGCAAATGTGCAGAGCTTCGAATATCTTTCCAGCTTCGACAACATTCTCGTAGCCTAGGATTCTGCATATAACATCAAAATCATTGACTTGATGTTCTTCTCGTCGATGTTCTCCAAGTCGGGAAGGAGGCTTCCACGAATTTTACCTGCCAGATGTCCTTTGACACGTATGCCTAACATCCTTCCCGTCTTACCAATATATTATATATTTCGTCACAGGCTGAACACTGAACTTGGTACTGTCCCTAGCTGTGTGCAATCCCCACCTTTTCCGAACGGATAAATAACGCAGTTATTCATAGAACATGTGCGATCATAAAGTCTATTGCGAATAAGATGGCGTTTGACACTGATAGAATTATCAAGACAACATCTTTAGTCAGATCTGCTCGTGCGATGCATTGTCGGATTTCTGCGCTGACCTTGTCCTATACAAATGGAAGTCGGAAATGTATCACATTCTCACGGTTTCTCAGCGAATAAGTTTGTAAGCCCGAAATTCCGTATTGTGCCCCATAGCCATTAGCCTACTCCTTTCGTCTCACCTCGCCTGTACACACTCCTGTAGCCGTTCTGTACGTGTTCCGAACTACTGCACGATACACGGCTGNCCTGAAAGCAGTTCGGAGCTCCTGATCTGTGGCTTACCCGACCAAGCGCTCAAACGCGCTAGCCCAGTTGCAACAACTCCCAAAAATTTAAACGCCAAAAGATATCAAGCAAGAAACCAACCCGTTACAGTTTCACAAATGTTTCCGTCTCACTCGATTTTGTAAGCAACAAAGGACCAATGAGACACCGTTGACGGTCGTTGGATAAGACTCACGCTATGATCTCAAAGCCCACAAAAAGGAAGATATGACAGAAATTCGCATGTTATGGAAATGCACTCATTTTGGTTGTTCAAGTTGGGATTTCTCTTGCAAATGTGCAGAGCTTCGAATATCTTTCCAGCTTCGACAACATTCTCGTAGCCTAGGATTCTGCATATAACATCAAAATCATTGACTTGATGTTCTTCTCGTCGATGTTCTCCAAGTCGGGAAGGAGGCTTCCACGAATTTTACCTGCCAGATGTCCTTTGACACGTATGCCTAACTTCCTTCCCGTCTTA